CTTCTAGAAACTCATGACGTGTTACCAGCATCACGTGACTTCTGCTGTTGTAACAATATTAATAATATATACACATATGTAATGTATTATAACCAAAATGGTCCCCTAGGGAAAAAAACGAGACAGGTCACTTTGTAAAGGCCAGTTTTATACTACTTGATATGGTAACAAGAGTGCACATGTGCTGTGTCATTGCAACTTCTGTAATAATACTCAGACATGGCTGAAAGGTCAATGAAATAAAATAATAACTATATATAAATGTATAATGTTATGAGATTTAAGCTATTTAGACTAAACATTTGTGTTTTGGCATTATAATTTGTAGTCATTCTAGAACAATAAAAAAGTGTAGCTTATATTTATTTTCTAATTGTTTATGGTGATTACAAGGTTGGTCAAATTGACCAAACCCATACAGAGATACAACAGTGAAAATAACAGATAAGAGATAAAGATTTTCTATAAAAAATTGATAATTATCTGGAGGTTATAAAGGTTTTTCATGTGAAATTTGACAATTTTCTGATGCATAAATGTATTTTTAATCTTAAAATCAAAATTACTTTGCATATTGGATAGTCAACATTCAAAATGAAAAAATACATGAGCAAATCAATACTTAAAAAATCTTAAAACTTAATAATGAATCTGATGTTTTGTGTATTAAAGCCTTGTAATGTGTACTGATAGTCTGCAAAATTTGTGAAAATATGCATACTGTATTAAAAGTTATAGTTTGTGAACTATAACAAGTACAAAATGGTGATGAGGTCGGTCCCTGGGATGAGTCTGTAGTGAGAGAATTAATCGACCATCCTCCTTGTTTAATTGCTCTTCTTGTCAAAACCTGAGTTCAATTTTTAGGGTTCTCATGTATTGCCCACTCTAACTTTTGGCCACCTGTTCCCTGTACAATTTTTCTCTTCAAACACATTTTATTCTTCTTATTTGTGGTAAATATCACTCAGACATATTTGCCTTGAGTGTTTCCCAAGTTCTTGACCAGGGACAGGTTGATTTAGTCCTGAGACTGCTCTTTCCTCCCCAAGACTTGGGATGCCAAGAAGGATAATTGCATGTTTTCTCCAGTCACCCCTTTTCCTTTCTTCTCTGTGCAGTCATTCCAACCCCAGTTATTTATATTTTCCTCTCAGGTCAGTTCATTGTTATCTTACTTATACCTCCCATTTTGAGTGATAGTGTTAAACAGCTCATATGGCTAGTTTATTCTTCTGTTGCTGATTGAACTTTTCATCTTTTCCATTCCACCTCCCATCAAGTTTGTCACCTCATGGCTTCTCTTGCTTCTAGCTGTTCAAATTCTCTGAATGAGATTTTATAGACAAGGATGTGGATAAGCCCTGAAACCTTTATGTTACATTACTTACACTACATTGTGGTTTCTTCTGCCTCTAGTTGTCCTCTACCTCTTTTCACCATCCTCCAATCTTCATTAGAGGTTCTAAGGAGGTGGGCTGCTAGTTATTTCTTTTCTTTTTTGCAGTTTCAATAATCACCTTTATATATATATTTTGTAAATGATAGGACCCACCACATGGCCAGTGTTACCTCATAGGGAATACCACTCTCTTTCCTGACATCTGCATTGATTGGAGTATAACAGACAGTGTTAAGCCCATATGCTTTTACCCAGTGCTGTTGAGATAGGGTTTTCTGCAAGCCTACTTTAACAATATATGTATATTTTACCTTCCATTATTCAGTAAAGAACCAACACACAACAGCACCAGGTGTAACCATGCCCTCACACCTGACTATTGCCTATTGTACCTGTTCATGGTAATCATGGTACTAGTGGATTAAAGAGAAAACCCTTGCTTCCCCAGACCAAAGCTACTGGAGAGGTTGATATGAAGAGTTTCCATAAAGGTTCCATGCAATCACATTGGTATGAGACCAAATAGAGACATCCCTTGGTTAGAAGTAGGGCTGGGGTGTTTACTTGAGTGTGTAGTACAGGCCACCTTTTACACTAAGAACCAGACCATTCCCAATTGTTCTGCCAGCCAGATTTGTCTTGCATTTTCTTCAGCGTGCAAGACTAGGATTATTTCTCCTTGCATCCGCTTATTTTGGTAAGTCTTGACTTATTGCCCTAGCAACACTACACATACATGCTCTGGTGACTTTGAGATATACAGGATGATTGAGCAGACTTTACACACTGTCCATCTATCCAACACTTTAGCACAATACTGGAGGTTCTTTGGCTCTATCACCTTTATTGGGTAAATATTATTCTTGCATGAAATGGATATAGTCTTCCACTAAGTGATTCCCCATTAACTCTTTCCCTAGTAGGTGGCATGCTCACAATACTGAGGTTCTTTTGCTGTACCACCTTTATTGGGTAAAGATTATTCCCGGTATGAAATGGATACGGTCTACCACTGATCGATGCCCCACTAGCTCCTTCCCTAGTGGGTGGCACTCCATGAGTTTTTTTTTTTTTCACTACATTATCTGAAAGGAACTCATATTTCAATTTCCTTATCTTCATCAATCTCTTCGCCAACTTCTCAGTGTGGGATTTTATTTATCAGTTCTGTGGAAAGGAGAGTAGTATTTCTCTAGTTAATATTTTTTTACCTGTAAATATATTTCAGATAGATACTCACCACTCCACAAAACTTCCCACCCTTCTTTCCGCTTTCCTATGTGTTTCTTCTGACTTATCAAGAGTGAGCCTTTGTTGATACACAGGGTGTTCATGGAATCTACTGCACATGGAAGATGTTTAGCTGTGTTGTTGGTGAAGTGCTGCAGCCTAATGATGATTGCATCATAAACTGGTGCAGTAAACAATACATGTAGGGGTGGGAGTTTCATTCAAGGATTAGTGCATGTGCAAAAATCTTTTCAGCAGTGATGGGAGGCAGTACCTAACATTTCTGTGAAGAGGTAAGTATCTATCTGAAACACATTTTCCGGTGAGGAAAATACTAACTTTTTAACTGAGTCAACAATTATATCATGGAAAAGAACTGACTCAGTATAACTTATGCTAGTATCAAATAAAATAATAATTTTGAAATGTGGAATGCTTAGGTTAATGTTAGATATTGTAAGGCTTGGATAAAGAAATTTATACATAATCTATAACTATTATATATTAATTTGTAAGATCATTTCTTATAATATCCTCATTGAAAATTGTATGAAAAGTACAAGTTTGCCATTGTTACATATTTTAGTGAAAAATAAATTGTTCTTACCACAAAATTTTAAAATGTCATGTGTAAGTTGTTAAAAGAAAACCCTGTACTCAAAAGTTTGTGTTGGTGTTCGAGCTTTCTCTATGAAATCTTCCAAATTGCAACAAATTCTAGCAAATCTAATGAATTGTGATAAATATTTTATAGCATGGGATGTTTATGTTGGAAAATGGGAAATTTATAACTTTAAATCTTCTATTTTTATTGTAAACTTTGAAGGAAAATGTTCAATTAATAATGCTAATGTTTAAATCAAACAGTATGCTTCATTTGTATTATTTAAACTTTATCAAAGAACTAGATCTGTTGGGTAGATATGGTTAGCTTTGTCAAGAAAGTTTGGTAGGTTTGGTACTGCTATGTTGTTAATGTATTTGCATGCTTTGTTAATTTGTAAAACTTTATAGTAATCTTTTTTTCTGTGATTATGTTATTAGATTAGGGTGTCATGGTTATGATAGTGCTCCAGGTTAAGACAGAACCATTAACATTGCCATTACCAATCAAAATCCTGGAGTTTGTTAGAAAATATTTTACAGACATCACACTGCTTATAATAGCTAGTCTATTAAATGATCCAGACCAGGGGTTAGCAGTCCTTCAAAGAAGAAAAGCCTTTTTTGTTTGTTTTTGTGAGCTGCAATATGCCCAAATAATCTAACCTAAAAAAATAGGTCCCCTGGTGGAACAGTGGTAGGTCTTTGGATTTACAACATTACAATCAGGTGCTCAATTCCTCTTGGTGAACACAGCAGATAGCCAGAGAGCTGCATAATTCTTTTTAAAGAGCCACATCTGGCTCATGATTGGCGGGTTGCTGACCCCTGATCTAGACCAATGGTTGGATGTAATTACCTCAGATGATATAAGTAATTCAAAGTCGACTAATGCTAATTAATTGAACATTATATATTTAATTAAACTCAGGTGAACTTCAAAATTTATTAAAGCAAAGGACTTGAGATAAAACCATATTTTTATAATACATTCTGTCATTTATCCACTTTTAGTAATATTAGGCTGTTACTGAGAGTAATTTATTGTTCTCAAAACATATACTTTGTAATTTTTCCAACATTGGCCAGTATACATGGTTATCAGTTAATTTGTAAGCATGATTACTTTGATATATATGTTTGATTTTTTAATATGTAGAATCATTAACATGAATGAAGATTGTTTTGTTTAATTTTAGTGACTTTCATTCAGCCATTTTTATTAACACCTTCAATTAGTTTATGTAGCTACTGTAAGAAAAATATGGCTGAAAATACTGTTGAAACCGAGGATTCCAAATTGATGAAACAATGCATTTTGATCATTATAGACAAGAGTCTGGACACCATATTTAATAAGCTATGCTAATTACTGGGTATAATTTTAGCTCTGCATACTCTGATCAGAAGTTATTATTAATCATAAACGTTTGGCCCTTGCTAAGCATATATATATATATATAGATCATACAGCTTGTGATATGTTTTTTTTTGTTGTTGTTGGTATAATGATAGTAGACAGGTGTTTCTTTTTCACATTGCTAGAACCCAGATATTCTTCACGCTAGAAGGTGATGTTTTATCTAAATACTTTAAGCTATTTGTCTTTTACAAATTGAAAATGTAAGAGAAACTACACTTTTATATGTGTGTTTATATATATTGAGAGTTGAAAGAGAGTGAGAGATTGAAAAGTAAATGTGATGTTTTGACCATACTGATTTTTAACTGTTTAGAGTTAATATTACATTCTTAATCCAATTAGGCATGAATTCAGCTGTTCGTGCAGTGGTGAGGATGGGTCTGTATCTTGGAACCAAAGTTTTCTTCATCAAAGAAGGTTACCAAGGCATGGTAGATGGTGGGGATCATATTCAAGAAGCTACATGGGTGAGCGTATCGGGAATAATTCATAAGGTGGGTTTGATACTCTCTCAGGAGCTTAATTATCAGAACTTGTTAAGTGTAGAAATGATTAATAAAACCACTTATAAACTTGTAGATGAAATGTTTGAAAAAAGAGCTCAAAACATATTGATAAGTTTTCATTAATTCTGTCAGTTGTGATAGAAATAAATGCTTTTTTTAGGATTATAGTGACCATATGTACATGCAGATACAACATAATATAAACTTCTAGAAATTAAAAGGTCAAGAAACTAAACATGAAATTAAAGATTGTTTTAGGAACTGTTAATTTAATACAGTTAATGAAACAATCATATTGAGAATATAAAATGTGGAACATGAAGATCTTCAAATTCAAAATGATAAAAATTAGGTTCTGACTGAATCAACTTGTTTCAGAGAGTCACATTTGGAAAAAATAATGTATGTTGCTGTATGTTCTGGTTTCATTATTTATTTCAGCTTCCTGTTTTCTGGATCTTTAGTTTTAACATACAAAAATTTATGTGCATGTACAAAAGTGCTATATATAATTTATGATAAATGTATAGAATTTTGGTACTTTAACATTATTTGTTCATATCTAATTTTATGCTATATTTGAAAATGAAAGGTATGACTAGGATTTGCTGGAAATGTTATTACATTGTTTAATTACACTTGCAACTCATGTTGCTTGTAATAGCAGTACATTTATACTACGTTGTTAGTTTTTTTTAGTGTATTAAAACTTTTTACCAGTACCATTGATAGATTGTTAATTTGTTCAAAAAAATCAAAACTTAAATGTTTTCATTAACAAAAGTAAGAACACAATCTCAATATGTCATGTAGTTTAACCTGTATTTAATGTAGAATCTCTCATGATAGTAGTATAAAAATAAATTTCTCTAGCTACCTGTTTTGAGCATGTCTGTTTCTGAATGAATTTATCAGAAATGTTAAAAGTTTGAAGAATTATGATTTTTAAAATAAAAAATAGAGAACATTCTATTTTATAGTATTCAGTGTTGTACTTAAAGTGCATGACTCGATTTGTTGACTAGGCTCTGCCACAGGACCCTTTGGACAAACTTACATTGTTCCTCTGGACCATCTATCTGGGTTTTCCCAGTTTTTTATCCCCCATACCTGAACTAATACCAAAATGGTCATATCTCTCATTTCTGTCTAGCCAGACTTAAACTCTTGAGTCACTGAAGGAAGCATTGTCCAGACTGTCTAGTGTAGAGACCATCTTCCTTTTGTCATGTTCAAAAACTTCTGTCAAAAACCTACATCCATCGTTGTTGCATTACTATGTGAAGAAATACAAAAACCTAAAGCAATTACCTAAAAAGCAGATCATCGATCTGAAGATGAAATGTTGCTATTGATCTTCCCATTTTAGATATGTAAAACATCCACATGTTTCACATTAGGGCCTTCAAAACATGCAAGTAACCAGTGACATTTATTATTGAATTTATATTCAGGTGTAATGTTTACAGAAAATGTTAAATGTTTATCCCCAAACATTTCTTGTTGTAATGTTGTTGGTAGATTACATATAAGAGATTAAATTGTAGTGACATTTTTTGTTTTTTTTTAAGTGTTGATATTTAATTGTCTTTCTGTATGTTCATACGTGCTTCCAGGGTGGCACTGTTATTGGTAGTGCTCGATGCAAAGACTTTCGAGAACGCCCTGGACGACTCAGAGCAGCAGCTAATCTGGTGAAATGTAAGATCTGTAATCTTGTAGTTATTGGTGGTGATGGAAGTTTGACTGGTGCAAATCTCTTCCGCCAAGAGTGGAGCTCATTATTAGATGAACTAGTTGAAAAAGGTGAGTAAAACTGATACTGAAATGAGAAACTTCCACTCGATAATACCATAACATGTTTTTAATGAGATAGTCAGATTGAGCAAACTTTCAACTTGGTTATTGTTAGTTTATGAAACTTATCAATCTAACTCAGGGTTAGTGTAACATATATATTGTGGACTTTATGTAAATTATATCTTGTTATCTCATTTTAATTTTTCATCTTCAGGAGAAATTACTGCCGAATTACGTGCAGAGTGCAGCCACTTAAACATTGTAGGACTGGTAGGTTCAATAGACAATGATTTTTGTGGCACTGACATGACTATTGGTACAGACTCTGCTTTACATCGTATCATTGAGGCCATTGATGCCATTGTCACAACTGCATCTAGGTAGGTCAAAAAACAGTTCAAAAAGACATATTTACCAGGTTACTTGTGGTTTATTTCTATCATTGAAAATAAATGAAATGTGTTACTGTTGTATTGGAATTATTCATATGCTAAATGTATACTTTGTATATGGGCATTCGCAGAAATTTTGCCATGGGAGCAAAATCAAAGTTTTGTTATTACAGTCAAGAGAATAGGCAAGCTCCCACAGTCAGTTTGATGGGTTTAATTTTTGTAAGGTTAGTTTAAGCTATACTGCAGACTTGCAGCTATTTATATTCCATAACAGTAAATTTTGGTTCACCCTGACCACACTGTCTAATGGGATGTCTGTAAGACTGTGTCAGTCTGTTTGATAACCTGGTTGATCCCAATCACACTGTGTCAGGGCTCAGGGTATGTCAGCAAGATCGCGTCGGTCTCTTTGATGATCTGAGTGAGAACTGATATGTCCAATATCCAAGAAACCATCATGGTAGTAACGTTTTTCAATGTTTAGCTACAGGGTAGTTATCTGGAAATTTTAAGCAAAGCTGCTGACAAACCTGATGATTTTTATTGGAATTGAAAATTAAGTGTAGTAAGTAGAGTGAAATTGTAAAGTAAATAAAAAACTTGAAAATTCATATACGCACGCTAAAGGAATAAAGAAATAATTATGTTTTTCACACACACACCCTCTGTACAGACACTCATGACTATGCATAGCATTATTATTACAATAGATCTACTTTTTTGAGATCTTGTGTATTTTATTTTCTGAAAAACAGTGGTAACATTGTAATTCTACAGGATACAGTTGGTACTGCACTTTGTTATCATATTTAAACTATCTGTGTAGTTTATTGTGTAGGTATTACACCTTATTATCACATTGATATAACACATGAACAATTCTAGGCCCTGCGGATTCTGAGCTTGTTGGAACTATTTCTATAAACCATACATAGTCTTACATAGATCAAAGATATGCATATTTATTTTTTAGTAAATACATCTGTGTTTCATTTTGTAGTCATCAAAGAACATTCATCTTGGAGGTAATGGGAAGACATTGTGGGTAAGTTATTTTAGTTATTAACTATTGTTTCAAAGAAATTTATGAAGTGAAAAGATAATATTTCATATGTTCATCAGTTTATGATAATGAAAATTTTAAAGTTACTCATTAACCCTCTCGCTATGGGTAAGCCAAAGTGCACATGTCACAACATTTTAGAGAGTTACATTGTAATTAAACTACTTTATTATCATTGTATATGAAATAACTTGTAGTTAATAAATCAACTTTTAATATATAAGTTTTAAATTTTTATTTTATGAGGTCTCTAAAATTGACCAAATGCATATAGATTTAGAGTAGAGAAAACATCATGAAATATAAAGTTTTACTGAAAAAATGTTTGATATATATTTAGGAGGTTTTAGAGATTGTGCATCTGAAATCTGACAATTTTCAAATGATGAAAAATATTTTTAATTTTAACATGAAAATCATTTTACACTCAGAGCAGTCAACACTTTGACTCTATATATTCACAGAGAAATTTTAAATTAAAATACTTCATTAAAAATTTTAATTTTTTGTCTACAAAAGACTTGCAGTGATTACTGAAAGTTTGCAAGATTTCATGAAAATACACAAAACATATTACAAATTATAGTATGGAAACTCTAATGGTCAATTTGGGGTCATGAACTCGGTTGAATCAACTGAGCCCATAGTGAGATAGTTAAGCAACATAAGTCATTTATGAATAAAACATGTATATTTTGGGCATATTATACATTTACAAGGTTTGAAATAATGTGTGCTTTTTACCTTTCCTTCCAGATACCTGGCACTCGTCGCTGCTTTAGCAAGTGAAGCTGACTTTGTTTTCATACCAGAGTGGCCTCCAGAGCCTGACTGGCCAGACAAACTGTGCAAAAAGCTCAAGCAAGTAAGAATGCTGGAACAATAGAAACCAACGTTAATAGGGTCCTGTATGGCTCTGAAGTGGGCACAATGGCTATATTTATTTATTTCCTACTAAGTTTTAATTATCTTCAACCATATTTGCAAAATTTAATAAAATCACTCCAAATCCAGTAAACTTACCTCTGAAAGAGTGTAAGGTTTTCTTATTGTTGAGTCATTATCTCTATCAACAATCACATGATTTTTAGTTTGAATGTCCTTTACACAATGCATTACATGCATCACTTTACCCCAAATTCTCCTCTCTCCAACCTACCATATGACTTACTGTGCGAGTGCCAGGAGAACTACATAAACTCAGCTTTCTTGCCACAAGACAGGTGTTTCTTGTTGACAGTTATGCTGTAAACTTCATGCCTTTGGTTACTGTGCTCATGAATTATGGTGTCAGTGTTAACCCTGATATTAATAATTTGATTAATGTAAAAAATTTTACATGTACCTCAAATATTTTTGAGGTCTTATTCACACAATGTTCTAGTGTTCAGGGAAATACTGTGGTTGCAATGTTAGCTCATGTCGATCAGCATATTAGGGCTTTTAATGCTGATTTGGTTGTTGATGTCCCAGTTGAGTTTCTTAATCATGTGGATGTTCAATTTGCAGGACATCTGCCATTTTCTTATGTTGGTGAACAAGCCCAATCTTTTGATTGAGGAGCATGATTTTTATGTTGGTCATAATCTTGAAGAAGCTTTTGCTACTCCTATTACACTTTTTCTTGGTTCTTTAATCTATGATATTTGTTATGTTGCTTATGCATTTGGAAATTAGCAGAATGTTAATATTTTCCACATTTATTTGTCACATTTGTTTGTCCCAGTTATCTGTCATATCAATTTACTAAGTTTATCAATTCATTACTCTTTCATTTGTCTGACTTTAGTTCCATGTGTTTTCTGTTGGAGTAATGAAAGTGTCTAATAGTCTCCAGTCCAACTTCAATAGCAGTTGATATCTTGTGTCCAATGTGAGAGAATCTTTTCCAGTAATTTCCATTCACTTGACGTCAGTTTCCATTTTTATATGGAAGATTGACTTGTTCTTTTTCTTTCATCAACTCAGTCTCTAGTACAAACTTTGTTGACCACTCAGTTTGCTATTTCTTTTGGGTGATTCATTCATAACACTAAATCGCTATTAATACCAGGTAATTATTTAGTCCATCTGGGGTTGTAGATCAACACAGTTGAGGGAATTTTTCAGCTGTCTTCTCTGGCACTTCAAACCTTGAAGTTTCGTGTGTGCATATTTTTGTTTTTTACATCTTCTGTCAATAACATTATGCTTTGGGGATGATGACTTTTCTTCCCAATGTTATTCCCTTGGGTTATATTTGGATGCATTACCTCCAATAGGATCTTGCTTCCCAGTGGTGTTTGATCATAGGTCTATTATCTCAGTTTGTTTACCTTTGAGTGTATCATGTTCCATGTGTGATGGACATTTTATTGAATTCTCTTTCCCAAGATCATCAGCTTCTTACAGAGTGGACTTTCCACCTTTTGCATATGGCTGAGTTGTCTTATGGTTGATGCCCTCCCAGTGATGGACAACCATCATCCTCTCAAGTTTCTCTATTTCTGGATCTAGCTTTATTAGTAGTAGGTGCCTTTTGTTAAACTTGGGAGGATCTCTTCCCTTATCCTTACTCTGCTTTACAACTTCATCATCTGGTTTTTGCCAAGATAAGTTCCACCAAGTATTATGTTCTGTTTATCACTCCATTTTGGTCTGTTAGTTTGTCTTTTTCATTCAGGATCTTGCTCCAGCAACATTAACTAATTGACTCTCCCTGTTTCTTATCATGATGTACTCATTCTCCTAAAAAGTGGTTTTGTTTCATTTCACCAAATTTGATATTTGGCAATGTTTTTTGTCATTCCAGTCACAGGCTATTGTAGTACATTCTGCAAACCAGTATGTAGATGAATATGAATAAATTTTTAAACTTTTACACACATCACATCACTATCTCTTCAACTTTGTTATTCTGTTTGTTTTCAATGGTGATACTCCAAGCGAGGTGGAATCCGTAGCAGGTATGTTCATTTACTCTTCATGGTCTCTCTTTTGTAACACGAAACTCTGTTTAGGTGGTTTCCTCCAGTCAGAACTCTTGTATGCTTCCTTTTGCCTCTGCAGTTGTCATAGACACTATTTCACAATTTGCACTGTGGTTCTATGAGTATTACCCTCTGAAAGTGAACAGATGATGTCATCAGGTGGTGGGTGATACCTTTTCCTATCTCTGCATGTACATACTTTTGTAGCATTTGAAGACATTGGAGACATCATGACCATTCTTCAGCTTCTCTTTCTTTCTTACAGGATATTCCTATTACAGTGTCTTCAAATTGCTGAGCCAATCCTCAGGGCAATCAAGCTCTTTTCCATTTTGCCTGGGTGCCTTCTCACCGGGCTAGTTTCATGACTCTATAGGCCTTTCGAGTTGATAATAATAGAGATTTTAGCTCCAGGAATACATAAAGTCTCTACTTAATTACCTGTCTTCTCCACCTGAAAATATAGCACTAACAAATGCAGGATAATGCTTTATGCTATGACCACATATCTAGTTACCACCTGGGACCACACCTACAAATGTGTATAGCTACTTAGGTCTAGTGCAAAGAGGTACTCTGCTGAGAATTTTTTTTTCCCTTCTGGTGTTTTTATTTTTGGTCCTGTTCACTCATTTCTTCCAGACAAATCCAGCTCAACACCTTTCACTCAGGCTCTTGATTCTGATCAAGCTTTGTTTGATCACACCACTTAATGTTGTTATGGTCTAGGTACATTACCTTTCATGTCCCAGAGTGCAGAATCTGGTGATGCTGTTATTCTCTGTTATAACAATCTTCAGTTCTCTCCTCCATCTCAGTGTGAATATTCTGGCTTACACTATTTTAGAGGTAAATCTATCAGATTTAAATTCTAAATTTTTGGTATTAAAATGAATTTGAAGCAGGTACTTACATCTGAAATACATTTCCACCCACCTCTCTACAACCAGAAGAAATGTGTTATGACATCATTATTTCACACAAAGCTCATGTAGTTCCCATGGCACTTGTACAGTAAGCCACATGGAATGTGGGAGAGTGGAGAATTTTGGCTAAGATCATGCATATAATTCATTGTTTTAGGAATACTCAGTACCAAAATTCACAAAAAAAGCTTACAGTGGTCTCTTCTTCCTCCTCCAAGAATTTACCACTCGAGTTATAGAACAATACATTGTGCTTTTACTCCGACTACCTGTTGCATCATCATCTGTATCCACATCTGAGATTGTACATGGTTCCCCAAGTATGTATATACTGCCAGACCCCACTTTCATATTTCATATTATATTAACCTGCTGAGGCAAGTATCTACCTTAAATTCATTCTAATTTTAAACATGTAAAATTTAATTATTGTTTTACAGCTTGTTTGACCAACCTCTCATATGTTTAGTTGTGTATGAGACAATAGACATCTGTGATTACCTCTTTTTGGTAATTTTTGAAACAGCCAAACAGTAGTGATATGGCCTCTACTCACAATGTTTACTATGCCAAAAAGCAAGAGTGCACTGGAGCACAAACAGATTTTTTTGAAAAACATTTTGTGGTAAGAAAAAGACAACAGTAAGCCTGATATTAGGTCTAGTTTTGTGCTTGACAAAGATGTTTCACCTATAGAAAGTTTTTTTGTCTTGATATCTGTGATTCATAATTTATGCTTCTCTTTATTAAATACCAGTTAAAACACTTTTCATTAAGAAAGAAATTTTAAAATTTGGAGGAAAATGCTAAATAGAAAGAACTTCATGAGGATAACAACTTACTGATTTTGCCATGAGGTCGTTGTTATGCTCTAAGATGGTGTAAACTCAAGAGCAGCTGGTATTTCACCGACAAACCCCACTGGGTTGTCTCTAGCAGTTCCCCCATGCAACTTGCTTCAGCTTTGTGAGTCTTCTCCCAGTTGAACTTTTTTTTTCAGAGAGAATCCTAATTAATTTAGATTGTACATTTTTGTACTTCACAACTAAATCATTGTCAGTATGTTTTCATATTTCTTTCAAAAGTTAGTGGAGCTTGCAGTTTATTATTCCAAGAATGTTTATATTTTCTTTTGACTTTTCAATAGGAGAGATACATTATTTTGCTATTGGAATACAACATCTCTCTTGTGTTTTTGTAGAGTAAGCATCAGTTATATAATTTAGTAAAATTAAATACTAATCCAAATCTTTCCTTTCATTTATCCCTTATAAGTCAGTTATTCTGGTTTCTAGAAATTCCACATCTCATCAGTAAGACCAGAAAAGATATAGCTAGACTTATTGGCATTGTGAATTGTATGTTATATGTATGATGTTTTCTGGTTGTCTTTTACTCACCACAGTGGTTTTATATTGATGTAAGATTTGAAGGATATGTAGCATTCATGGTACAAATTTATTCTTCTAAATTATTAAACAGACAAACTATTTAAGATACTAAAATAAATATGAAGGCCAGTCTACCATTTGTCACTGAGTTATACCAGTTTTATGGAATTCCATTTTTCATTAGTAATCCTAGACATGGGCAAATTGAAAAGAGACTAGGCTTCTTGTAGTGGTGAAATGAATATTATTTTGTACAAGGGTTTAATTTCTTCAACTTTTATTAGGAACGTGAATCTGGCCAACGTTTGAACATCATTATTATTGCAGAAGGAGCCATTGATAGAAATGGTAGCCCCATCTCTGCTGAGCAAGTGAAGAAGGTTAGCAATAAGTAAAGAAAAAACAACTGAAATAAACTGTTCTGTCACTTCACATTAATAAATTTCTTTTATTTCTGTCACTGAATAAGACATATTTTGTTTATTTTCTCACATCATTACTTTTTAGATTTTTTGTTTTCATTAAATGTTTTTTAAGTTCATTGTTAAAATAAAAAATTATTCTAATAAAGGTGGTTCCCTTTTATGTAATCAACTCCTAGTTATTTCATCAAAATTATAATAATGACGTACATAAACCAAACTTATCCACCCACAGTTTTTTAACAGAGTTATCTTTTTCTGAATTTGACATCCTTCATCACCTTTGTGCATTTTCTTTTGTATGTGTTTTTCAAGGTATTTCATTCAAAAAATTTTGTAAACATGTTACATAGTTATAAGTAAAAGAGTTTGGTAACTGCAAATGTGTGTTTGACTGTGAAATTGTGTAGCAGCTGCATTTGAACCCTTTCAAAATAAATAATTTTTATCACTGTATAACTTAGAATGATCTTAGTCAATAATATTTATTTCAAAACACTAATAAAAAGTTAAATTAATTGAAAATTTCTTGTTAGCTTACAGAAAAGTGTTTTTTTTCATTATAGTGTTTATTGTATGAAAATAGATTATTTCCCCCAAATTTTTTTCTCACTTTATCTCCCACCCAAACTCAGTCCCTGGACCTTACTGTGGACCAAAGCACTCCACTCACGTAACTAATGGTTTGGCATAATTTGTTGATAATTAGTGACCTAAGGAGGATGAAAGAAATAAGGATCTCAAGAGATTTTCCATAATGTTAATTGAATTAATTGTACTTGGCTGAGTGCAGCCTAGTGTTTAGCATGCCAGACTGTAAAACTTGGGTTACATAGTTTGTGTTCCTTATTTAGAAAAAAAAAATTACACTTTGGGGCAGTGGGTGTGTTATAAAAGTGATGGTAAAATTCTACTATTCTGTTTGACAAGATTTAGCAGTGGTGGAACTGCATTCCCTCTAGTGTATCACTTTATAATTAGGAACAGCTACCATAGATAGCTCGTGTGTAGCTTTGATTAAGTTCAAGCAATAGTTAATAATACTTTCCTCTAAGTTTTTTGTCCCATATTGATAAGTTTGCTTGAACACTGTCAGTGAAGTCTAAAACTAGCTTTTAAGGTATAAAACACAGTAAATAAACATGTTAGTTTCTCTGTGTAAATGAAATTGTTGTATATAATGAGGTAAAATCAAAGCACATTTAAGGTTAAATGTTTCTTTGGTTTTCAGTTTCTGATAAGATTTTATATCTCAATATGATATGTAAATTTGCTATACAGTCTCAGGTAGCTCTTAACCCTTTCCATACGGGTCACAGGTGTAAGGCCACATCATCACATTTTTGACTCACATTAAAAATTATATTGAACTACTATTTCATGAATTTATTGTCAATAACTTTGGTATCAAACTGTAGATAATAATTACAATTTTAGTACTATACATTTCTCAATTTCTTAGTATAAAAGTAAGTATTAAAAAAACACAGGTAAACATTGATTTTTGTGTGTCAAATGATATGTTGAATGCAGCACTGGTTCCAGTTAAATGTTTGTGATGTCAGAATAAGTCTGTAGTTTTATATGAATTAGGAACTCAAGTTACTGATATTGACAAACTAGAATATCAAATAAGAATCTCTTATCTTTTCTATTTGCTAAGATATTGCTCATGTAATAAATTAAACACAGTGGCACCCCACCCACCTCTTTTCATTTTTGGAAATAGTCCCTTATATACAGTTACTTCTATATATGACATGAATAACCAATCGAAAGCTCAGAATGTCCCCTTAGTGGATTTCATAGCCCTTTTATATTCTTAGGATGCCATCTTTTTCTTTCAAACCACGATTTCAAGGAGGTAGGTTGTGTCTTTAGTCTGCTCGAAATTTCATATTTTTTTAGACTGAAATACAGCTTAGTTACTAAACTTGATAAATTGTAGTGGCATTCTATGGTATTGATATAGTAATTTTTGATTTTTTTGTTATTCAACTGCATATATAAAACATAAAAAAAGTATTTCATTTCATATCCTCCACATGCAAAATTTTGAAAGGTTTAGCAATCTACGTCAAACAGCAACCAAGTACAGTGGTTGTAAGTAGAAGAGATAATTGTTTGCTTTACTTCTTTATTTACTGTTCTATGTTTTAACAAATATAAGTTTAAGAACTTATTTCCAAATAGCAATAATCTATATACACACGCATATAATGTATAATAATTGAAACACAGCCAAGACAGGTCAGTTTGTGAAGACTAAAGGTCAGTTATATATTATTGGATACAGTAACATGAGTGCATATGTGCCACGTCATTGTAACTTCTGTACTGTTAGTCAGGCATGGCTGAAAAATCAATATAATAAAAATAATAAATATATATATAAATGTGTAATGTTATTAGATTTAAGCTATTCAGTCTAAACACTTATGTTTTCATGTTATAATTTGTTGTCATTCTAGAATGAAATAAGCATAATTTATATTTATTTCCTAATCTTTTATGGTGGTTATGAGATTGGTCAAAACTACCGAATCCGTACAGAGATGCGTGACTGAAAATAACAGATAAAATATAAAGTTTTTTCTTAAGAAATGTTTGATAACTATCTGGACATTATAAAGATTTTGCATGTGAAATTTGAATATGTTCTGATGCATAAAAGTATTTTTAATCTTAAAATGAAAATTGCTTTGGATGTTGGATAGGCAATGTGCAAAAAGAAAAAAAGGCATGAGAAACATTGCTTTACAAGTCTTAAGACTTAATAAAAATATTTGATATTTCATGTATGAAAGCATTGTAATGTTTACTGGTAATTTGCCAAATATTGTTAATATATGCTTACTAATTGAAACGTTAAAGCATAAAAACTATAACAAGCTCAAAATGGTTACTACGTCAGTAACAGGCACCGAGCCCGTGCTGAATGAGTTAAAGAATCAATAGTTGCTGGTTGTTTGTCATTCAAAGTACATTGAAAACTGAACATATGACACTTGGGTGTAAATTTATTCCATTGCTTTTTTAACATCATATCTTTGACCATATTTTAATAAAAGTTAGTGTGAAGCATGATATAATACTATATCATGCATAAAATTGATTAATGGTTCTAAACTTCTTATTTGTAGTCTGAAATTATTTTTGATGGTAAAAGCATCAAGTATTTAATAAGTATGTTTGTAAAGAAATAGTGGCTAGATTGTTTTGATGTGTACTATATTCAAGTAAAACTGAGTTAACCTTAGAGAAATAGGATAGGTCCATTTAAAAAGAAGGGATTCAACAAGATATTTATTGCAAAGTAATTCTGAGTTCTCTGATTTTGAGAAAAAGACTAAACACAAATGCATAAAACAGAATAAACAAATCTTTATTCAAACTTGTAAGCACAATCAAAATACTGTGTTTGTACAGGACAATGGACATTGCCTTTACTTTATATATCTAAATGCTCATAAAAACTTATAAAAATGCTTCAGAACAATTAACGTTACATGTTAAACTTTAGCACAGTGTTGTTATTTTCAAAGAAAGGACTTAAACTTCACTAACCAACTGATAATTTGAAGTTCAATGAGAGAGAGCTAACTAAGAGATCACAGTATTATATACCAAATTCTGTAACAGTATATTCCCAGGAAATGTGCACCACATATGTTGCTGTTGGTCAATCCTGTTGAAAAAATGAAGGATGTCAAAGCCTCTAGATATAATCTGAACTAAATTGGAAGATACTGCTGTTTCTATTCTTACACACTGTGCAGCATAACAGCCATATCTCCCTTGAGCAGAAAAGGTGTTATCTCCAGAGAATGACAAAGGAACAAAGGCAGCTTGAAGAAATTTAACTTAATGACTTCCTTGACCATATACTGTACTGCACATACACAGAATAGCTAATAAATTTAGAATATTATATTAAAATCAGAAAGTGGAAATGCATGGTATGTTTATATATCACAGGAGACATATGCATTGTTGAAAAAATCTGTGAATAATAGATATATATATATATATATATATTACATTTAGGTGGTTGTTGACAACCTGAAGCAGGATACACGAGTGACAGTCTTGGGTCATGTACAGCGTGGAGGGAGTCCTTCAGCTTTTGATAGAATCCTGGTAAGTTGAGTTGTTGATTTCCTTTTGCTGTAAAACATTTAAATACAAGAAGATTAGTAAGAATAATGTCCTTTTTTATAATTGTAGGGTTGTCGAATGGGAGCAGAAGCTGTTCTTGCTTTGTTTGAAGCCACACCAGACTCTGAAGCATGTGTTGTTTCCCTGGATGGAAACCAGGCAGTTAGAGTACCACTAATGGAATGTGTTAAAAAGGTATTCATAGCATTGTTATTCAGAAAAATCTTATCTTGCTGATCTTGTTTACTTGCTACAATGACATGTGTTGGCAAAAATTACTAAGCTCTTAACTACATGTAGTCAGTTAAATGAATTGAACAAATTCTTTCTCATTTCATATTTGTAAAACAAAAGATGAAAACTATGTGGAGGATGTGAGTGTCTTAAAGAATAGTCTCGTATAACATGTGGCATATAAATAATTTTAAAAGTGTATAGCAAAGTGCTTGTGTTAATGGTCAGTAACAGAAGAATTACTCTCAAACTCTCAGAATTAGTTGAAGTTCAGAGACAGCTCTGAGGTAATTACATATTCATAGAAAACTTTTAACATAGATGTATATTGGTTTTTCTTGTGAACTTACTGACATTTAACATGAATAAGAAACATCTCTAATCTGCTGTTTACATTATTCATTACATAAAGGGTTCTAAAATTTTTCTCTAACAGACTCAAGGTGTAGCAAAGTATATGGCTGAAAAAAAATGGGACGAGGCAGTGAAACTCCGTGGGAGGTAAAGCAAAACTTTTAAAGACTTATTCAGTAAGGTCTTCTTTGGTTTTATAATATGTCATTTTGGTCTGCAAGGATAGAGGAGGAGATTTTTTTCAAAACAAATTTTGAAACTTTTATAAATATTTACATGTTCTTTCATATGTTGTAAAAGGTTTGTTTGCAGCAGTGTTGTCTTTGGTGATATTTCATAGAACAGATAATTCAGTGCTTGTATTGAGTATACTTTTTGTTTTTCCTCTAATTTTTAAACTGGTTTTTCTGAAATGTTTCTTGTAAGTTTTAGGGAATATGAACTTGCATGTAGGTATTTGCAGGAAATAACTACTCTCACTGCTAATTTATATTGAGAAAGGTTAACAGTATGTTTTTTATTATTTTCTATAAGCAACTATTATAGCATAATCTTTGTTTGGTTTACAAGTGCAAATCTATACAATGGGCTATCTCTGCCGTGTCCACCATGGGTATTGAACCCAAATTATTAGTGTTTTAAACTCTCAAGCTACTGCTGAGTCACCAGGGATATTTAACTTAGGAGAGCATATGATTTTCTTAAAATCAGTAAGTATTATCATATGAGGATAAACTATTATTACTAAGACTAGAGCCACTGTTCAGGGATGGAATACATACTGTTTTATCACAATACACATTATTTAAGTTTACCATAATTGAGAGAACTAATTTCAGTCATTAAGGAGTTTAGTTGTGGCTATGGAAATAAATGTGAACTCCTTAGAGCAGTTTCTATGTATGCATGCACAGAATATAGGTGTGTGTGTGGATGTAGAAACAAATAGAAACATATTGTATAATTTAATATCTTAAATATTATAAATATCAACTTGTTTATACATTCATATACTGTAATGTACATATACTATAGTTATCCATCTAACCTAAATTACCAGTTGTTTTGTACTGTTGAGTTTTAAGGCTTTTATTGTAAGGATATTATTTTTAAAGGTTGTATTTTTTCATTGTTCACCCAGTGAAAATTTTGATGTTTCTTTATTTTCTCTTGACCAGCCAGGTATCTCACCTATCATTTCACCATTTGGGGGGCTTTGCAGTAAGCTAGAGAGCTTACCCTACTGTCATTCAGAACTCAATCTTTCTGGTAGGCAGACAACACAATTAGCCCACTGTACAGCTTTGTAACTTAACAATAAACAAATATACTTATTATTTTTGCTGTTGAATACAAAGCAAATTACAACAATATCAAAATTTATTGAGCTACTAGTTTCTTTAATACAAACTTGAAATAATCTGTATATACTTCAATACATAGAATAGTTTTAGAATATAAAAAAAGATTTAAATATAAATAGTTTTTTCTTTCATGTACTATTCAGATAGAGTTTTTGTATAAGTTACTGTGGTTCAGCACAGTTTATAATGTATTTTACTAGGGGTGGAAAAAATATTTTAACTGACCAGATGTAGCACTATCTAATGAAATCAGATGTGATCAGATATTAATTTTGCAATGGAGTGGATAATCAGACACCATTTCTATCAAAGCTTTATCTCACAATATAACACAGGCATGACACTACTTGCATGTGCATCACACTTAATGGGGATTACATCATCTAGCTTGCTGTTGCTTTCTTTTAGCCTCTAAACATAGTAGCATTTTCTACAGTATTAAAGAGTTGGAGCTGTGGTAATTGTAATGTAGATAGTTAGTATGTAATTTATATAAACATCACGCTCACCAGTTGTTTATGTCACAAGAGATCATGGTAGTGACTAGTAGCGTGCATCGGGAGGGCATCAAACGCAAAGAGTCGAATCGAATAGTAGAACCCTTTCCACCCTTCCTCAAGGTCTAAGTACAAGGCCCCGGGCATTGTAGAACCTCTGCATGCAACTGGTAGTGACAATGACAATACTGACAAACACAATCCAAACGACAGTCTCAGTGGGGCATTAGGGGTGTCAAGCAAGTGTCTCATGCCACCACATGCAGCATTCTTTCAACTATGGTTATGAGGGTGGGGGTAAAAGTGTGCATGTCATGACCTTTTGCAGAGTTACATTCAAAATTTTATACAACTTTATTATCAACGTGTGCCAATAAACTTGGCATCAAAACATAGCTTATACTTCAAATTTTGATTTCAAAAAGAAATATTCAAATAGATTCTCAATTTTCACTTCTCTGCATCATGTGACACTTCTTTGTTTCAAGTTGCCCATTTTAGATTTTCTCTCTATCCCTATATAAGCATCTGAGATTGGCATGAATTACACACTTATACTGAAACCATTGCTAAGTCATAATATATACCTCCAGTCTTTTTGCTCTACTGAAATATAAACCAGAAAGTCAAAACAACATGCGCCCCCCCGTGGCACAGTGGTACTTATGCGGACTTACAACGCTAGAAACTGGGTTTCAATACTCGTGGTGGGCAGAGCACAGATAGCCCTTGTGTAGCTTTGTGCATAATTAAAAAAAACAAACAAACAAAACAACATGCAATGCTACTCTTGACCCATCCCGTCTTTCAAGAAATGTCAGTAATTCTCTCTTACAGTTGCTATTGGATTACTTATAACCAATAGAAAGACCAAATTGCACACTATGTAAACCACAAGATTATCTGTTGTTTTTAGACTCAAGAAGTAATTAATTTTTTAAATCTATTTATAGGTTAGTTGAAAAGCCAAATAAATGAGAGTAGTTTTTATATAATATAATCAAATGAGGGATATGTTTTTGGTTTTCTAAAAGATACATTTGAAACTTACATAAATTATTTTCTGAACAACCAAAATAGTTAGAAAAAAAGGTTACAAAAATAGGCAGTCAGAGCAAACTGGCCTAGAGCTAGAGTAGATTCTAAGTTTCTTGTTTTTTTATTAACGTCCTTTATTTGTTTTATGTATGTTTTAACACAATTAAATGAAATGTAAAATTTAAGAATTTATTAGATTAGATAAGAAATTTAAATAAAAATAATAGTTTTTCATCATCACTCCCTAAGGAATGTAGCAGTTAGTTGTGCAAAGTGTAATCTGATTAGTTTCTTGACTTTATTGTCCCACCTTGTGATTTACTGCTTGTCACAATATTTAGACTTGGTTGAAAGAGCAATAAAATAATAAAATAAAATGAAAGCAGTTATGAAACATTAAGAGGCTTAAAGCTCTTAAGATAAATGATTATAATTGTTCATTACAATATCCAGTATTCTAGTAAAAACAAAAGTATTTTTGGTTTTACTTCATATTTTTCAACTTTTGATACAGATGGTTTTGTTAGAGTTGGTGTTAGGTTAGAGAAAATGATAAATAAAGTGCAAAGTTTTACCAAGAAAAAAACTTGTAATTTTCATTTAGTACGCTCTACAAGCTATGCAAGTGAATTATGAAATCTGTAAAGTAAAAAAAAAGTATTTCTATTCCTAGCATAAAAACCACCTTTCACTCAGACTGACTTAGTAAAGGCTTTGTAAATTCACAAACAAATCTTTGGTAAAAATACTTAATTGAAAAATCTAGTTTTTGTGTACAACATACTTGTAATATTTACTAAATTTAATAAAGATATATTTAGTACATTTAGAGTTATAGTATGTAGAGTTTTATGGTTATGTGGGTGTTACAAGGATAGCACAAATGGTCAAAACAGAGAGTTAAAGGGCCTGCAATTCCAACTTATGAGAAACTGTTCATCCTCATTGAATTTTCAAAAACAATGACAAAGTAACTAGTTTAATACTACACTACAATGAAGGGTTACCTGATGCTTGTGGCACATTTTGAATATGTATGGCTACATCTCATATCTGATCTGATAATATTCAAATCCTATTGGGCATAAGTAGCTATGTAACTGAAATCTGATATCCAACCAAAACTACTGTTTTTTTTTTCATCCTATATTTTAAATTGCCTTCAAAGACATGCTGAGTTACTAAGATAGGAGCACACTAATTAATGCATCAATCTAAACCAGTACATAGATCTGAGAAAACCATGTGGCTACAGTGCATCAGTTTTTGAGGCACTGGTTTTAATTGTACAATTATGTATGAAAATAATATGATCACAAATGGTGTGAAAATGTCAATTAAAGTATTTTGTATAGATGCTACAATGATAAATAAAAGATACACGAATAAAAAGCAAAAGTAATTTTTAATTGCCTAGTAATATAAAATATAACCAAAAACACTTTTCTTTGAGATCACAAGATTTAAACTTTTTAAGATTAAAAAGACAAAAATTATATTATCTGTAATAAAACAAATCTTATAAAGGGTTGGATTATTATAGTTAGTTGCAACTGTATGCTATATTGCAAGAGTAAGAAAAACTAGGCATTTATCATATCTACTATAAATTAAATACTTATTCAAACTAATCTATAAGAAATATAGTTTATGTATTCAAAATATAAAGAAAACTGTTATATGGTTATTAGTCAGTTGATTGACAATTTTTCAGCATAGAAATTCTGGCAAAATATTTTTGGTATCACATTATTGGAAATACTATGTAGATACCAAAGATCTATGATAGCATTCACAAATGAGTAGCTTAAGGATTTTATACATGGATACATTGAAATTTATTTTGAAGTTTGTTTGATTTCTATAAAGTCTAATAAATTAAGCTGGTCAAGCTCAGGTTTTATTGTTAAATAGTTCTATTTTATTATTATTTTTGTTTACACTATATGTTTACAACTTGTTAAAATAAGATGCAAATATTAATATCTGAATGTTTTTTAAGGAGCTTTGAAAGAAACTTAATAACATACAAAATGCTAACAAGGCTTCGTCCTCCAAAGACTGCATTTGATGCTGAAGGACATGGTGTCGTAAGTGGAACTTTATTAAATTAAATTATTCTTTAATTTACACTTGTTTTTCACATAATTAAAATAACTTTTAAGGTGTTCATGTTTTGACTTAACAAAAAATCTTAAACATCTGCACTGTTGATTTCATGTGCTTCTAATGTTTCTCCTGAGTTTTGTTTTCCTATTTTGCTTCATATATTTTTGGAATGCAGTTGTTATCATTCATTCATATTATTTTTTTTGTGTAAGTTATTTTCTGAGATTATTTCTGTTATTGTTTGTTTAATATTATTTTTTCTTATCTGTTTATGTTTGCAAGTTTATAATCAATGGCTCCTCAGATAGTATTTGAGGAAATTTTACCCTGAATTATCGAAAAATGTAACTCAGGAACATTTATCTAATTAATATAATAATAAAATAGATAACTACTCTTGAAGATATATTTAATTCTTTACTTTAATGATTGTCTTACATTTAGTTAAATTTTATTTTATAGAATTACAGCAGCTTCTGTATAATATTAACTTTTTAAAACCTGAGGAATTGTACAATACCTTCAAATTAATAGATATTGATAAGACTTCTTTTAAGACTCAGGTTTTCATTAGTTATGTTAATAATACAATTTGTAGACAGTTTATCTCGGCACATGCAAAACCAAGTATTATCCTTGTGTTTCTGGAAGGTACTCTAATATAATTTAAATTTATTCATACTCAAAGAATTTTTCACTTGTATTAAGTTCATTTAATTTTTCTCTAGAGTATGTAATTAATAACTACTTGCTTCATTCTGAATTGTAAGCTGATTCATTATTTACTTTGAACTGGACATTTGCTATGGTAATATTATCTCAAGGAGTTCTAGCAGCTTGATATTTTCTATAGCTGTGATGAAACATAAATGAAATGAAGGACTGTTTCTGTTCAGGGAAATACTACACATAAACAGAAGACCAGCACTCATTATCCTTTCTTTTAAACTGCACTTCATACGTATTTCTTATTGTTCCTTTTTAACTATCTGAAGTCTTCAGTTTGAAGGGTATAGAAAACTATTTATTATCATGTTATTTAGTAACAGCAACATATCCTCATTTTAAAAAAAAATTATACTTTTGGTTCAGTGCTGTTACAAATGCACTTGTTAAAACTTGGGAAGCTATTTAATTTTATAAAGGCTACATGGGTGTATAGAAAGTAATAGTTTCTAGACAGTTGATTAAATGAAGGTTTCATTTATTTGGCAAACAAAATTATTCCAACATCAAATACACTCGTATAATTATTAGAGATGTGCTGAATATGCTTTGATAATCTTTTTTTTGTCAAATCATCAATTGATGAACTTGGTGACCAAATAATTAATTAGTCTTATCTTAAAAACATCCTCATAAACAGACCAACTTTTTTTATTCTGTTCTTTATGAAGAAACTACTGTCAAAATAGATAATTAAAATTATAATTATTGGATATTCTGTTTGCTACAATTGATTTAGTTTTCTTAAACAAAACATTTTTAGACAGTAATCAGAGTTTTTAAACACTCATTATAAAATATAATGATGATGCATATTTTCACCTACTTAGTAAATTCATTAATTTAAATAGTAAATGTTTTTGTTTATGATTATTTTAGATTGAGTATTTCTACTGTGTTTTAATTTGAACTCATGGTTTATTAGTGTTTCAATATACTTAAAAAAAAAAGAATTAGAAAGTACAAATTTTACATTTACTAGGATTTTCATTTCATTTTACTCAGAAATATGTTTTTTCCTAATGGAGATATAGTAATTCCTCTGTTTTGGAATTTGGTCGTAAAACATGATTTTATCCAACTATGGTACACAAGAAATGTCAAAAATAAGTACAACTTTATACATCATTCAGGTAACAAAAATATGGCTGTGTGTAAACCACACACCTACATACAGATGAGCCCAAATTTCTCATTATAAACTATGTAATTTTCAAGCCTGTTAAGAATATTATCGTAGCAGAAACTGAATGCTTTAGCTATTCAGTCCTGAAATGCACCCAGTATTTACCTACATTTGTTGAAATTCTGCTACAGTATATCTTTAATAGATAAGTTCTGTTTGCATTTTAGAAAAGTAATTAAAAACATCATTGTAGATCATCTGCAAGAGAATGAATATTTAATACATTGAGCCGTGTAAATTCATACAGTATTTATTATTAATAGAGATAACTGCCCATATTTTACAGTTTGATATTTCTATTGTCTGTACTTTTGTATTTAAAGGTTTCTTCACATTTGCAATCCACTTGAATAAAAATGAAAATGTAGAATAAGTAGTTTCTAATGTTTTAAATGAAACAAGACACTCAATTTTGAAAAACAAAAGTGATTTTGCAGGTTTATACAGCAATAGCCTATCAGTACCCAAGAACTAATATTTTTTACACAGTCTAATTTACTAAAATGCTTGTAAGATGGAAAAGGTTTTTTAGCACAATGGAAAAAAAAATAACTTTATAACTCCTGTGTTTTTCTCCTAGCATTTTACTTGATTCCCTGGTTTAAATACAAATTCCACTTTTCCATAAATTTATCCAAGTCTGTTTTTCTTTCTATCTCCCTCTGGTGTGGGTTTCCAGCAGCAATTGAAGGTAAGAATTATCCTATTAATGGAGCTTATCCTTCTGTGCTTGCATTTTTGTTGTATCTGTCCTTGCTTCTGCTAACTTCGTGCATGTTTGTCATGTTTTCAGCTTGTAAAAGATACATGTGTTAAGCAAAGCTTTTTGTTGTCATCAGTGTGAATAGAGACATCATCTGGGGGGAGTGGCAGCCTCCTCAAGTTCAGAAGGGGTCCAGAAATGGCAATATTTATGAGAAACATTTCTAGTAAGACTAGATTAACACATATGCAAATTACACCATAGAGTAGGGCCCTCAGCTAAATTTGGAGGACCACATAAGATAGGTCTTGTTTGCCACCCGCCCAACCCTTTTGTGAAATTATGTTCCTGAATATAAGATTACTCATCGTTTGATTCCTCATATTAGCTTTTCTTTATACTTTTTTCATACAACAATTTTTGTACTTTGTAGAACATTATCGTGTAATGGGTAAAATCTTTAAAGACTGGTCAAAAAGCTCACAGATTGTTGTTGAACTCCACTTCCTTTATTCTTGTTGAAGGTTGTTTTCCAAAAAGAGAGTAAAGTATACTTCTAATTCTGATGCTTTCATTAAGGAGTTGGTTGTTCCCTGTGTTGGATTTTTCATAAAGCTACTCAAGGGCTATCTGTGCCTGATGTTCCTAATTTTGAAGTAATATGCCAGAGTGAAGGCAGCTAGTCAACATCACCCTCCACCAACTCTTGAGCTACTCTAATTCAATACTAGGAGTGATTATCAGATTATGAAACCTCCACAGCTAATAATGCTAGCATGTTTGGTGATGGGGTTTGATCCCATGACCCACAGATTGTGAGTCAAATCCCCTAACACCGGGCCATGCGAGGACCTTCTGTTTTTAGCTATAATTAAACTTACCATTTATAAATTATTTTAGTTAGTACTTATAGTTTCTATCTCACTAGAGTCTAATTTTATTTAAAGCTGAACCACTCCAGTATTTTGCAAAATTTATTCTTTCCAAGAACATTAATAATTTACACCACTGGTTTTAACAGAATGAGAAGGACTTTTCTGACCATCAGTATGTGTAATGCATTGTATCTATAATGGCAAATATTTAATGTTTTTATTCTCCTGGATCATGCTCCAAGCTATTTGACCTGTTAATGTTATCTTATTTATGCATTTTATGTAGTCCGTAATTGTGCTGTAATGTTGTTACTGTAATGTACTGAAATTTAACTTGTCTCATTCATTGAGGCATATTACAATGTGCATGAGATATGGGAATACATCACTGCTGATTAATTAAATGTAGAATTATGAACATTACTCACAGAATTTTGAGGAGATGATTGTCAAACTAATAAGGCATCAGGCTTTAGAAAGAACAGTTGCTGAATATTTCACCCAATAAAAATTATTAAATTTGGAAAATTTCTTATTTATTTCTATTTAACTTACACTCTTATTGGTGAACTTGCATTTACTGATGCAACATCAAATGTATTCATGGCTCATCCACTTGGAAATTGTTCCATCAACTGTTATTTCTACAATATAAACATAAGTGTTTTTACCATGTGACTGTAGTTAATTTTTTAGGACCTCCTTCTAAAACATGTATAAGACATATGTGGTTACAATAACATTATTTCTTGTTTCTGAATTTTAGTACTATAGTGTCAATGGTAGTGTTATTTTTCTATGTAGTTGTGAAATCTGTTTTAACTGCTTTATTAACCATTGTAAATAGTACCAGTGTTAAGTTCCTTTCATATCCAATACAGTTCTGTCTTTTTTTACGTACCTGTCCAACTTCTTGTGAGAATACCAGTATTTATTGTTGTTTTTGACAAGATAACTAACTTCCTCTCACATACATAGCTATTCTCATTCAGTGCTACCCACTATTTGGAAGAAAATCTTCTCATTCCACAGGCCTTTCACTCTCATACACCCCTCGATTCACATGGTTTAACTGATTCTTGCATGCATATTATCATACGACAAATCTCCACCAATAGTAGTGTCACAGACACATGTGACTCCCTCTTTGCTATTCTACTTAACTATCACTTCTCATTTGGTGGTGCTTGTGTTCAGACATTTAGTTTGTGCTCTTTTCATGTATTTTTTTATTTCTTTCTGCTAACACATTTGTGTTTGGTTATTCATTATAAATTATGAATACTAAGTTACCATTTCAGAGGTTATCTCTTCTATCAGCACATTTACACTGACTTCAGGTGATGGTCCTCAACTGGGGAATTATCAGCTTTACTTTGTTGGGAGATTTATCATCCAATGAGCTGACCTTTTTTGGGCCTCGACTCGAATTTGTGGGTCGACACATTTTGAAATATGGTCCACTAACTTTGGAAAGATAAGGTGTTATACTGTTATGGTTTTGAATATTTTTACTGTTAATATTATCATCTCTAGTTTTTGGGTTCAGTAAAATTAGTTAGATTGGTCAATACTCATAGACAAGTTCAGGTTTAAAATTAGAGCATAGTTATGTCTTTTATCCTATAACATTAAATAGACTTAACATGGGTCTTTGTTATCTTACAATTAGCTATAATTCATCTTACTAGTATATCGTAAATTTGGTAAACTATATTGGTTTTTCTTCAAAACATCACATCTCATATATATGTTATTCTCAATACACACTTAATTAATTTTATAATATAATATCAATTCCATTTTTGTTATTATTTATCTGTTATACTTTTTCATATTAACTTTGTTTGTGTGGACTCCTGGAGCTGGGGTCAGCACAAACTTCTCCCGATATTGTACGTATTATTGTTAGAATAGGGTTTTTAAATTAGAGCTTAGTGATATACTTTGTTCTGCACAGTTTTATTACACTTAAGAAGTGTCTGTTATTTTCAGTTTACCTGTAGTTCATCTTATGGGTAAATTGATAATTAGGATAAATATATTATTTTATTCAACACATAACACCTTATACATATTTTTATTTCACTACACATTTACTTTACACCATATTGACTATTTCATTTTTGTAATTCTTTATAATTTATACTTCTTACAATTAATTTAGTTTGTGAGGACTCCTGGGCCACCCTACCTTGTCTTGATATTGCTTGCCTTCCTCCTATAACTGCCAAACCCATTTAGGATGACATAGATTTTGTCAGTGTTCCTCCACCTGATTATGGCTTGCCTTCCCAGGCCTCTACTGCAGAATATGCTTCGCCTACCTTGACCTTTTGAAGGCATATTTCACAGTTTAATTTTCCCTTCCTTCTCCAGACATTATGTTTCATGATGAGCATTTTTGTCTCTCTTTTGGGAGAGAGTATTTGCATGCCTCACTCTCCACAGGTTTTGGTTCAATTTGCCTTAGCTTACCATCAAGCATATTTTCTTTTGACTCTATGTACTTAGAATCTCTGTCGCCTGTATGGGGGCAGTCTCTATTAATGCTATTCATTTTATCCCACAACTAGTTTTCCAGCTTTGTCTTACCCTATCGACTCTTCTTCAAGAAATGTCTATCTTACACCTCCTTTATTAGGCATTCCACCTATATCTAGGGGATTTTTGTGGGATACCTCTTTCTCCTTCCCTCCATGTTGGGGCATTTGCCATCTTCATTTCTTTCCTTCCACACATGGCTTATTTGCTTTCGGGATCTTCTGAGGTGGAATAATGTCTTGTACTGTTTGTTTACCATCCATTTCTAATAGGGACTTATGGTCAGGTCTTTTTCTCCACTGGTCCTTTTTTTTTTGGCTACTCCTTTGCATTTAGCATTATGTGAGGTATCTGCGATGCTATGACCTATTTTTTGGGGGTTTCTCTTTTGTTGCATTCTGAGTCATTTCCATTTTATTTGTGTTCCATGTCCAGCACCTTCCCATCTTTTACATGTCCTACCAACGGGTTTCTCCATTCGTTGTGTATGGTTGATGCTAGTTGGAGTTCTGAATCAATTGATCCCACCTCAATCACTTCTTGGTTCTTCCCCATTTAATTATATAGTCTTTTATCACAGTTGGGTTGGGCATTTTCTGCAAGAGTGAGAATGCCCATGGTACACATTCTTATTTTTCATTTCTTGGGATGCTGTCTTGAGTTTTTTCAAGCCTTGCCCTTCAAACTTGTTTGGGTTACACATATCTTTTGTCAGATGGTCTGCATTTTACCCAACTTCCCCATTTTAGGGGATTTTACTAACACCACTATTTGAACGTCTGGCTTCAGTTAGCTTTTTCCAAATGGGGGTGGTCATAGCATACTCGTCTGCTTCTTATACAAGCAACTTAGATGGTTGGCTTTTCCAATTGGATAAGTTTTTCCTGTTACTTACCTAACAATCTTGGCTACTTGGGGAGAGTCTTTTTAAACACCCACCTCTGTCAGTACCATTCATTCTCCTCCTCAAATGCATTTTATGGAGTTTTCTGTTATCAATGCCATTACAGTTCACTACCTTACAGCTAGCGAGGTTCTAACACATTAGAGAATGTGGCTTCTATGGAAGCACTTCTCCCTTTGGGTCTGGCACATTTCCAATCTTTTCAGGAGATGCTGCACAATCCATGGTCTCTTGCTAATGTTCCTTTGGATTCTCCTCTTAACTTTTCTCCTTCCCTCTTTGACTATATGCATTTGTGGTTCAACATATCCTCCACGTTGTTAGGTCTACCAATTCCTTTCCCTTGTCCAGGTTTGTTTTTGTTCCCTGATGTTCATCTCCAAATTTGGGGGGCGTGGGTCAATCAGCAGGAGGCTTTAGGACAATGGTCCATGGCCGAAAGGTCTTACCATATTAACACCTTAGCACTTCCAGCAGTCCAACATGCTTTAGTTCGCTTTCTTACTTTTGTCCAACTATTCGATGGTGATGGCTTATATCACTTACCAAGGAGGCACTTATTCTTGTTCCCTTTGTGTTAGACAGTGGATCTCCCTATTTGAATCCATACACTTGACATACATCTCCTGTTGTGTTGTGTTCTAGGTGCTTTCATCATCATTGCA